TGAAATCATACAACAATATGCGATTGTGTAGACACGTGCTGGAAAATCCCTTGATACTAATTCACGACAAGAAAATTTTGAACATAAACTTATGAAAGTATTGGAGATGGCTGTAAAAGCAATCAATTTCATTAAACTGCGATTTCATAGTGCTTGTGTTCTTTTGAACACTAACATTACCTTCGAAATTACTGCACGGGCGACAAACTAGTATATACAAAAAGAGATTCGTCAATTTTGAAGTGTATTTCTAACTATTAAAATACTTATTATATTTATTTAAAATATAAATTAGGCATATTTTTATTTTTTTAGTGGCTGCTATTTTATCTTCAATGATGCCGCTCCTAAAATCTGTTTCGAACAGATTTGCTGGCCGAATCTACCTTTCCCTAATCAAGTTCTCAATGTCATTGAATATTCCGATGGACTTCAAAGGTTAGGTAACAATTTGTAATCGTGCAATATCAATATCACTGTGGGGTTGTTGGGTCGAGAAGGAGGTATAATTAAATTAATCACTTAATTTTACATTTCATTGAGTACGTATCACTAATGCATCTAAATTGGTGTTATAGTACTAGTAGTGCTAGATATCATTATTTTTTAATAAAACTTTTGAAGGAAACATACGAACGGAACAATAAGAAAAAAATGAAAGAAATGGGGCCCTAAAGTTTTGTCCTTCACCTCTAATTTTTAATGTTTTATCAATAGTGTTTATGGAAAGTTCATATTTTTACTAGAGATTTTTTTTTTTTTAGAATTTTACATCATGCTTTTTGCTTGTTACACTGAATTTTTATTACAATGAAAGTATTTAATATTATCTCATTATCACACTATGTCCCCTTTTTTTCATTGCATTCTTATGAACAACCTTCCATTAATTAGCACCTATTCTTCATCATGATGGTTTTGGTTCGAAATCCATTACGAGGCATAAAGAAATTTATATGTCCATCATATTTTAAATAAGTAAAATTGAGGAATTTTATTACAATTGAAATGTGGAGCAACAAATAAAAAATAATAGTGTGAAAATTATTATCCTAAAAGAACATGATTCTACTCTTAGATTTAGGTAATTGTATATATATATTAATTTGCTCCGTGTTTTTTCCTCTACGTAATGGTGGACCAAGAACCACTTGACCCAAATCAAAACCAAACCGATTCTAGGTCTTATAATCAATAATCGAATGGTTTTGATCCAATTCTTGATTCTAGCTATATAACCAAATTTTGATTAGACTCTTAAGTTTTTTTTTATAACCTCTAAATTAATTAAAATTTATATGAATTAACATGAATTAATATGCTTTCATAATGATTGATTTCTTTATTGTTTAAAATAGAAAGCGTTAAACTGAAATTAGCTAACTTACGTAAAAGTTTACAATTTGCGATTTATTTTGCAACATAAAAGAACCCGACTAAACTTGATGAGATCAGTCTAAAACATATCAAATTTAGTCCAGTGCGGTTCTGTTTTTCCCATGGAACCAGAGGTTCTATTCTTATAATTCCAACGGAGTCGATTTAAACTAATTCATAAGATACCGGAATCGAATAACACCTAGAGATAGACATGCTTCCATTTGGTTCTGGTTCCAAGAGAATTGAATCGAACTATGAACCAATGATTATTTTAATAATGGAACCAAATGATTTTTTTTTTTTTTAAATATGGACCCAAACAAAAACGGAACCGTTCGTTTTTCGTTTGGCTTAGTTTGGTTCTAGTTTCATTTTTTAAATTTTCAGACTTTCACAATATCCATAAGTTAGTAATATATGCCTAAATAAAAATAAACAAATATCAAACATTCAACAATCTCAAATTATCAATCACCGAGATCATAAAAGTCCCAAATAACAAATAAAATATAGTCATATTTGAATACACAAATCAATTTTCATTCATATACAAAACATTGTCTAATAACTAATAACAATGATTCACTAAATTAATTGTAGCAGTTTTGATAGCACACCCCACAATAAATAATTATGCAAAACTTTTACGGTTCATTTTTACAAGCAACCATTAACCATTTAATACTCCATGGATGTTTATTGGATTTCTCTCTCTTTGTAAAGAGCACAAATAAACTATCAAACAATCAATGAGTCAAAAAATAGTTTAAAGGATTGTTAAGTAACTCATTAATTGCATTTTTTGATCTTAAAAGAGTCTTCCCCACTGATATGATTAAATGTGATGCGTGAAAGAGAAATAATTCAATTGAATACAAAATTACCGTTTGCTCAATTAATGGACCGCCTCCAATTAATAAAAAATTAGGATCTCTACTAATTAGTATATATATAAAAAAATTAAAAATTAAGTTTGGTACTGGTTCTCATTCTAATTCTCAGTTCTAGAACTAGAACTATAACTAGAACCAAATGTTCTCGATTCGCAAAACCAAAATCATTAATTTTATTTTATATTTTCGTAGAACCGAATCACACCGAACCCCTCAGTTTGGTTCGATCCTACCTCTATGTAAGATCTTTCATTTGTTTCCATTAGATTGAAGGGTATTCCATGTACATCTTGCATTTACTTTTCTTTATTTTTAAGTCAAACATGGACTTCTATTCAATTAGCATAAGAAGTAATAATTTTTATAATGCAAGGAGGAGGTCTATCAAACATTATCTTGAAAGTGTGAAAAAGCTAATTTTGTTAAAGAGTGAGACGCACAGTTTGCTTATTGTTTGATGAACACCCAAGCGCTATGAAAGATATCATCATTGCCTAATGTAGCTAAGAAGTCCACCTATATAAAGCGTGACATAACCTCAAATAAACTTCCCTTGTGCTGCTAGCATCTTTCCCTTATTTCCCATACCATACAACTTTCTCCCTGATTGGCACCGTCAACATTCACCTTAATTTACCATTTATAGGAGGCTTTCAAAGCTGATTATCATCATTATTTCAATAGTTAGTTTCACCTAGGCCTTCCACCAACATTCTACTCTTTCGAAATTCAAATATGTGGACCTTTACCCCTTCTAAAATATGTATCGGTTCCCTATATTTCCATCGAACTTATAGAGGTTTCTCTCTCATCTCTTGAAATGTCACATACTGCCTACTTGGATGTGTCGTTTTGTTAGTGTTGTGGTGTGCTGTGATCCAAATTCTATGTGATTTGGTATTTTGTTGATTGGAGAAAGTCTAAGGTATCGTTTGTAGAATTCTAATATGTTGAAGATCAAATATCAATGATAATTAGG